TATAATATATATATGTCAAATATATATTATATATTAAATTAATATATATTATTTAATTAAATAATATAATAATATATAAATATATAATGGTTGATAACTGTAAATATATATAATATATATATACACAACACAACACACACACACGCACACATCAGCGACACGCGCACAACAACACACACCAACACACACACACGACCACACAACACACACACACACACATGTCGTAGCTAGTCATCGAGCCGACACACACCACACAGCACCACACACACACACACTTTATGTATTATATTAGTGTGTTGTGTTATATGGGTGGGTGGGTTAGGGTGTGGATAATATATGATAACACACACACACACACTGTGCACATCACACTAGTGTGCATGACACACACACACACATCAATGTGTGTGTAGTGTTGATGTATGTTATGTATTATGTATGTATGTATGTAATGTATATGAGTATGTAGATGTATGTATATGTAAGTTAAGTAATATAGTATGTTATAGTATTGTAATGTATAGTTAATATTGATATATATTAGTATATATGTAATATGATATTAAATATATATTGATAGTATGTATATGTATATGTATATATTATATATTAATAATTATTATTTGATGAATATATAAATTAATAAAAAATACTAATAACATACACTAACCACAACAACCAGCTAAGCATAATCAAAATACTAATGCGATATGTAAAATTTATTAATGTGTAATATAGAATATTAATAAATATATAAATATATATATATATATATTAATATATTATATTATATTTAATTGTAATATAATAATATAATATATATTGAGATCATAATATATATATATATTGTATATGTGACTATTGTATTATTATATTTATATATTAATTATGGTTAGGGATTGGGTGTATTATATGTATATGTATATATATAATATTAATATAGTATATATATATATATATATATATATATGTGTGTGTCGTGTGTGGAACTGTGTGTTGGTTTGTCATGTTGGAGTGTGGGTGTGTGGTGATTGTGTTGTGTTGGTGGTGATTGTGTGTTGGTGGTTAAGGTGTTGTGTATTGATGACTTAAGTAGGGTATATGAGTTGAGTATGTGTATGTCGGTGTGTAGTTATGGAATATATATAATATAGTATATAATATTGTGGTGTTGTGTATTGATTATATAACATTTATATAATGTTTAGTTGTTGGACTTTATGTGTGTGTGGCGTGTGTGTTGGTATGTGTGTGGTGTGTGTATTGTGTTGTGTGGGTTGGTTTGTTGTAGTGTTGTGTTGTGAGTGTGTGGTGTGTGACGTTGTGTGGTGTGATGATGGTTGTGTTGAGGTTGTGTGTAGGTGTGTGTATGTGTGTGGTGTGTGTTAGTGTGTGCGTGTGTGTAGGTGGTGTGTGGTGAGTTGTGTTTATGTTGTTGTGGTTGTGTGAGTGTTAATGTGTGTGTAGAGTGAGCTGTGTATGTATGTGGTGTAATGTGAGGGGATTGGTGTTGATGTATTTTATGGTGTGTGTGTGGTGTGTGTATGTTTGGGTGTTGGATGTTGTTAATTGTATTCGTTGATGGTGTGGTGTTGTACAGTGAGCTGTTGGATGTAATGTGTATGTGGTAAAATGCTGTTGGTATGTGTGGGTGTGTGTATGTGTGTGCAGATGCTGTGTTAGTGTGTGTGAGTTGTGTGTGTGTATGTGTTTGTGGTCGTGTGTTATTGTATGTAGTTGGTATGTGTGTGATATGTGTGTGTTGTGTGGTGTATTTGATGTGAGTATGGTGGGTATGGTGTATGTGATGTGGTTGGATTATGTGTGTGGGTGGTATGTGATGTGGTGTGTGCTATGTGATGTGGTGTGTGATGTGTTGTGTGTGTGTAGTGTGTGTGGTGTTGTGGTTGATTGTGTTGTGTTGTGTGTGTATGTGTTGTGTGTGTGTTGATGTGGTGTTGTTGATGTGTTGTGTGTGGGGTGTTGTGTAATGTGTGTGGTGTGTGTACAGTGTATGGTTGTGTGTAAGTGTGTTGGTGTGTGAATTGTGTGTGTTGGTGTTGTGGTGTGTGATTGTGACATTGTGTGTGTGTGTGATGGTATCTTTGTGCTTTGTGTGTGTGTGTGATGCGTGTGTGGTGTGGGATAAATTGTGTGTGTGTGTGTGTGTTGACTATGTGTTGTGGTGGGTGTTGTGTGATCATGTGGTACATGTGTGTGTGTCTCTGTAATTTTGTGATGTGTGTGGTGTGTTGTGTGTGTGATGTATATTGGGTGCTAGTGTGTTGATTCTGTGTAATAATATTTGTGTGTGTGGGTGTGTGTGTGTGTGTTGTTGTTGTGTGCAGCTGAGTGTGTAATGTTGGTGTGAACGTTTGTGTGTGTAGGTTGTGTGTGTGTGTGTTGAAATGTGTGTGTGTGTGTGTGATGTGAGGGTGGTTTGTGTGTGGTGTGTGTGTGTGTGTGGTTGTGTTGTGGTGTATGTGTGGGTGTTGTGTCT